TGAACGGATGTTATGGGTCATAAAACATTTATGCGTCTGTAATTGCAGCATTTATGACAGCAAGAAATGAATATCTTTTCCTGTTTATGAATAGAGACAGCAACTCTAGAACAGGGAGGAAAGGCTAAGTGGATCATTAGTTAAAACACACTCAAGGGATTTTTCTGAGGAAATACCAGGAAATCTCAAAGACCATCTCATTTCAGGCTCATGGGTCTCTTGCACACCCAGCTCATGTGTTAGGTCTGCAATTGATCCACAGGTTCGGATCCTAGGCCCTCCATCTACTCTTTAACCTTAAACAGTTGCTTAATCCCTTAAAGCTCCCATGACAAGATTTACTCAGACTAAAAGAAGATATTTGACCCTCCTTTAAAAGTATCTGGAGTGAGTGCTGGATGAGGGACACATATAAACGCCCAAATTGGACCTATTGCTGTTCATCTGGTGAGAATTCAATTAAAGATCAGTTTCTTCCTTCCCTTCATCCTTCCTTCTTCCCAGTTCAAAAATATGAGTAATTCCAGAAATGCCTTTCGTAATTGGTCATGGCCAGTTTGAGACAGAGATTACCAGGCAAAATAACAACAACAAAAGTGAGGAAGGGGAGAAAAAGAAAAGAAATGAGAATCAAAATTCCCTGACCTACAGGAAGGAAGTAAGGAAAGCGGAAGGAAGAACTAGCTTGTTTTTCCAGGACTAATATATGCTGGTGGTAGCAGGCATCTCACTATCTCACTAAAATATAAGCCCAAGGACATATACATTTGCCCTCTCTGACTGTGGCTTCTGGCCAAAATCTGCAACTTTCAAAAAGTATTTCCAGAGCCATAGCTATGCTCCATGCAGAGCCTGATGAAGACCCTTGAGGCACCATACTAAAAGTTCATGGCTACAGCCCTGGTTGGATAGTCCCCCAGAACCATGTGTCGGAACTCTAATCTTCAATGTGAAATAAAAAGAAATGGACCTTTGGGGACCAGCAGTTAGCATAATGGCTATGTGGCTGAACTCCCATGTAGTCGACCATGGTTCGAGTCCCGGACCCAGTGGCTTAAACTCATACTGGGTACCTGTGCATGCTTGCCCAAGATCCCGAGAGAAGAATGGAGAAGGGATTGCAGCATGGCCATCCCCCCTGCAAGGTGATTTCTTGCATTCTATCTCTCTATCTCTCTCTCTGTCTTTCTGGCTAGTGCAAGTGCCCTATTGCAAAAAACTCTCCAAAGAAAAAAAAGAAATGGACCTTTGTAATAAGGCCATGAAGGCTCAACCCTCATGAATGGATTAAGACCATTATCATGAGTTATAAGGCCAAGTTTGGCACCTTCTCTCTTTGCTGCCCTTCCACCTTCTACCATAGGATGACACAGTAAATAGTCACTTGTCAGATGCCACTCTTTGATCTTGGACTACCCAACCTCCAAAACTGTAAAACATGAATTTTTGTTCTTTATAAATTACCCAGTCTCAGGTATTCTGTGATAGCACAAAACAGAGAGACAGCTGACCACTTTCATGTAATTTAAAGATTTTTTTAAATTTAAACAAAAAGATCTCTTTCCTAGATTTTTGGATTGCAAAACTCTGGCAAAAGCCACTAAATCTGAGCTTGCATCTATCTCCTGCTCTCTTTTCTGCCTCTGTCCTCTTGGTGCCTGAGAATCTGTGCATTTTGCCCAGTTTCACTGGCAGGCATTGTCTGAGACACTAGGAACAGAGTAGTGAACAAGACAGACCACCTCCAAACCTGAATGCAGCTTGAATTCCACTAGAGAGAAAAAAGTAATATGCAGGCAAATAGTTAGTATCACTTCAGGAAATAATAAGTACTCAGGGAGTAGAGAGGGACTTATAATGGATCCTGGTTTTCAGCCAGTGAAATGAGAAGACATATAAGAAGGGCATAAATTCTATTATTCAGGGGTACTCTTCTGCTCCATCTCCATTCAGATTTGGAGACTAATGTTGCAGTGATAAGCATCCCTCAGAGGCCACCATCTTTCTTGGTGCTGCAGAGTAACCCAGAAGTGATAGAGATGAGTCAGAATTGAAGTGGTGTTGATTGAACCGGTGTTGCCAGCAACTATCTTGAGAGAAGATATTGGGATGACATAAATGCACAGGCCTTTCTCCAAATAAGCTACTATTCATCCTCTCAAATCTCCTTCTCACTCATTCTTGCTTCCTATCACAATAATCTCCCTCCCATAGAAAAGTTTATCTATTTTCATAAGAGAAAAAGAGGGGACCTCAACAGGGTCTTGCCACGCTGTGATTACCTTCGGTCAGTCAGAGCAAACAAGTGGATCCAGGAACTGAGTCCAGGACCTTCCTCTATGGCTCTAGTATCATGCAAACATGCTCTACCAATTGCACCACTGTGACTGGGCTAGAATCATTAAGAGAAGCAGTAATGGAATCCTTACATGCTGTTATTTGAGAGAGAGTTCCAACTGATGGTTTCTTGTAGGGTCTTAAAATTCTGTAGCCACACACCAACTGGTACATCTCCATATATTTAGTAGCAGCATTCTGGACCACTACAATCCATACATACCTATCCATATAGGAAAAGAAAACTGTGTGCCCAAGTTATAGAAATCCAGCAGAACAAACAGGGAAATGCATTCACATCCTAGATTCATATTAATGATAATGAGAGTCTGAGTCAAAAAGAAAAGGATGCTCCAAACTTTTATCTGATTGTCTGTTTAACCCAAAATAAGCAATATGTTCAAAATTATTTCTCAGTAGAAAATTACATGAATCAAAAGAAGGCCAACCAAGGAAGGTACCCTTTCTTACCAAAGAAGATGCAATTAAGATCTCCCCAACACTCTTTGGGAGTTGAATTTTCTTTCTTGCCAAAGGAGTAATTATTTTATCAGCTCTGTCATTAGCAAGTGAGACAACAGCCTACAGAGTAAGCTCACTTTCAGACTTCTTGTCTCATCCCTAATTCCATCAAAGTGATTGATGCTAGACAAGTGGTCGGATCAATTCATTTAGGTTTTCAAAAACCATCACACTCATGGCCATACACTTGTGTACATAATGTGTTCATTTAGAAGCAGAAAGTCCTGTAGTTTTCCAACCTCATGTTCTGTTGGATCTCTTTGCTCTTGCACAAGCTGCGGGACTTTTCTGGAACGGACATTACCTCTTTCATCGCCTAGATAAAAGCTGCAGGACCTATAAGACTAAGGACAGGATAATTCCCCCAGATTCTTCCACTTCTCAGCCAAGTTTCTGTTTTCTGAACTCCGTGTGCTTGCCCCACAGTCACAGTGCAGAGGGTTGCTGTTACTTATTTGTCCACCTAATTAGATGAGGATATTCCAGAAGCTGTAGGGGGCAGTGGTTTAGGATTGGGAAAAACTGTGGATTGGGTTAAAATTCTACTCTACTTTCCACATGTAGGACATTGAGTAAGTTATTTATCTCTTTATCCTTCCTGAGCCCTATTTTCAACATGAGGACATGAATAACATCTACCTTAGGATGTTGTCATGAAGTTGAAGGGGGGATGACACCTGTCAAGGCTTAGCATCACATGGTGTCACCACTTATTCAATACACAAATACTTACTGCATTTTTCAAATCTCTTGAATTGTTCAGAGTGGGTCCCTCTCATGGCTAGAAACACAAAGGACTTACAGAGAGTTCATAGTGGGTAGCAAGACAGGAATGATAACTTGGAACTTTGAATGCCAAGATAAGATAGAACTATGTTTTGAAGGATATAGAGAGTTGTTGAAGGTTATAAGCAGAATTGTATCTCAATAAAATAATGTTTTAGAAAATGCCCTCTGGGGCTGGCTCTGTGGTCTAATGGTGAAGGTAGGCATATCCTATCTGATCACATGGTTCAAGTCTCAGACCCAGTGGCTTCATGGGCATGTATGCCCAACATTTCAAAAGGAGGGAAAGATGGAGAAGGCATTGTGGCCTGATCATGTTCCATAGAGGGTACTTTCTTCTCTCACCCTATTCTCTTTCTATTGAGTGCACATGTCCTCTAGTGGAAGGAAGGAAGGATGGAAGGAAGGAAGGAAGGAAGGAAGGAAGGAAGGAAGGAAGGAAGGAAGGAAGGAAGGAAGGAAGGAAGGAAGAGGAAGGGATGGAGGAAGGAAGAAGGGGCTCTCTTTCATGGTCTGGCTTTCTTCACTAAGCAATAATTTTCCATATTTATCCACTTTATATCAAAAGCCAGGGTCTTATTCTTTATGGCTGAGTAGTATTCCATAGTGAACATGTGCCACACT